TAGTTACTCCCGGCGTTTACCCGCGCTTGTTTGCCGTTTGTCATCTTGCATTGTCTTCACACACGCTGTACTGTGTGTGCTGGGTGAAACTTGACAGGCAAAATGCCTTTAAACTGTACGCTTGCTGCGACACACGATTTGTAGCTGGATGGGACGCCCTTGGCAATCTCTGTTAAGGATAGTGGTACGTGCCATTCTCAAACATCTATGTACCGTTTACTTGCAAAGAAAACGAACTGGGTCTTCTAAGCTGAACATCCCTTCCTCGTGCATGTCCAAAACTCAAAACTCTGCACTGGCTGTGTTTGGTGAGACTTGGCGAATGAAAGTGAGCCACATAAAATCTGCAACCTTGCATTGGACAAGGTGTCGGCGGGGCTTGCACTGGTCTTGCGAAGCATCCTCCCAAACTCTTGCATCTAGTAGTTGCGGATGCTCAAAGAGAAACATGTTCTGCCAGCCACCCCATGAACGCGAATCAAACAATGCTGTACTTGCTGTCTTAAGCAAACTTCAAAGGTGCAAAATGCAAGCAGCGAACTCTCGCATCTACAACTTGCTAAGGCTCAAAGAGAAACATACTCTGCTGGCCACCCCGTGAAAGTGTATCAACACATGAAAGCATCGCTATGGTACAACATAGCCATAAGGCTCTTCCTCAGTCAGGGGGCGCAGTCCATTGCTCATCTTCTTCTCCTCCTGCCATTGGCCCTCTGTGCGGAAGAAGATCCTGAGTCTTGACACTCCAACTGTCAACTTCTCATAGTCAATGATGAGCTTCTTCAGGAAGCCGATGTTCTCTGGCATGGGCTTGATTGGGAGAGCACTGCCTACGAGCTTGTAGTCGCCGTTCTCCTCCTTCAATTCCTGCACCCAGACCATCGCTGTATTCACAGGCTGGCCTTGGGAACCCGACATACCCTCTATTCAAAATGGACAAGCACTAAAAACAGGCAAAGAAAAAATCCGTACAAAGTTGTTCCGAGGGTCTGGTCTCAGCTTTTGGGGACAAGTTGACGCTCTTCAGCGACTGCACGCTGTAGAGCTCAGCATTGCCGTCGTCCTTGAGCACCAACCTTCTTGCCACAAGGTCGCAGTCCACGTTGCAGGTGTTGATCCGTGAGATGCCCTTGCTCTTGATGTGGACGGTGTAGGCTGTGTGAGCTATGTTGGGGACTAAGCCTATGACTTGAACATCGCCCGCTTCAGTCTTCTCCATGGTCTTGAGCATCTTATTGCTGTCGTTACCGATGATGTAGAGACCCTTGTGGCTGGCGTTCTTGTAGTTGTCCATGTTGGTGAAGCGCTCAAGGTGCGTGTTGATGTCTGCCTGCCCACGGGCATGCATCACACCCTCCAAGACAAACATCTCCATCGCAATCTGCACGGCGCAATCTGGCTTTCCTTGACCAATTGCTGAAGCGTGGAACTCCAGGGCTTCGTACTTCAAGTTCTTCAGCGTTGTCTGAATGCACTTGTTGTACTGGTCCTCGTATGGTAGCATCTCTTTCGACGGCAAAGAACAAACCACTTCCGCAAAGAACATGCAAGGCAAGGCTCGCATCAATAAATCTGCACAGCTGTGTGGCTTGGCGTTCTCAAACCAAACCTCTAACCCACAGTGCTTTTTCAGATTGTAAAGGTAGTATGAAGCTAGTAGAGGGTTCGCTACTTGGTATTCCATGTCTTCATTCACCCAATCCACTCTTTGGAACTCATCCTCAGAGTTCCTGTCATACTTGGGAAGTACGAAGCCGTTGATGGTGAGCTCCCTCCGCACTTCCTGCCGTGCAATGCGGCTTGCGCCCTGACACAACAGCTCTGCAAACTCGCGAGGAATGTTGCTGACAGGAGTGTACTGGCCATTGACACGCACTGCCCTGCTCTCTCGCAGAGCTCCCAAAACGTCTGTTTGTGGACAGTTCCACTCCCCCATTCCGTAGCTCTTGCGTACTTTTTCAACTGTCCGTGTGAAATTCCAAGTTTCATCCACGTTTTGTGACCTGTTCACCCAGTGCATTGCAGCGATGAAAATGCCACGATGCCCACCACAGAATTGGATAAAGAACTCGATGCTCTTCTCGTCCAGCTTCACCCCAGCTTCCCCCAGCTGTTCCTTGAGCTCAGACGTGTAGCTCAAGGGTGGCGTCCACATGAACTTCTGGGTGATTTCACTAGGCGTAGTGGCTGTGACCGGCGTGAGTTGATCAGCCAGCTGCGGAGCTTCACCTGATGCTGAGACTAAAAGCACCTTGGGGTGACACGAAGCATCACTCTTGAAGAGTTTCTCGGAAAGCCTTCCGGATGAAAAGACTGTATGCGCCTCATCCAAAATCAGGGTCATGTCATTCTCTTTGGCTCGCTTGAGGGCATCGTCCAGCTGCATATCGGTCTTCTCCCCTCTCTCTTCTGTGGACGAAGCCACTGCCCGAATGATGTTCTTCTCCCAACTTGCTTCCTCCGATCCAGTAAATTGAACTTTAACGAACGACTTGCCCTGGCGACCTAGGTGCTCTGCCAGCGTTGTTTTGCCGGTGGCTACGCCACCACGGATGAAGACGAAATCATGGTCTCCATAAAACAAATCCCCCACTTTCTTGTCGTAGTCTGGCAGGGACAGGAAAACGTGTTTCTGCGCGTCAGCCGCCTTGTTCAGCGGAGGCAGTATACGAGGCTTCTTGCTTGCCGGCGCTTCAATCTCGGCGGATCTCTTCATGGCAGGTCGCTTCACGGCTTCAAGTCCAAGTCGCTTCTACTTCACTTAAGCTATGAAATGCAAAGATTATGTTTCTTTGCTTGCAGTATCTTGAACGCACGAAATCTTGAGCGCAATTCACCTCAAGAATGCTGTGGCTGAATGTTGAAGTGATGAACATTTGCTGAATGGGTTTGGGTCAACAACAACGTCAACGAGACTCTCAAAAAACTTGCACATGCTTGGAGATCTCCCTACCACGCAAACCCTTGACCAAAACATGATAAACTGTTTTGCTCGAACAACCGAACTGCAGGCTCAGCCACACGTGCTCTACTTGAACCACCGCATCTACACCACAACCCAGAAGGTGCGCAGTGAAGGAGACAAGCCAAAGCTGTCCTCCTGCCAACGCATTGCCTTGGCAATTTGAAGAAATCCGGAGAAAATCATCAAAAAAACGCGAGACAAGCGGCACATGGATGACATCCCACGGACTACATATACGAGACCAGCAAAAGTACCAGTCGATGCACAGTTACAAAGAGCAAAGGCATCTTATATATATAATTCAAATCCAATATGTCAAAAGATTTACTCTAAGGATGGCTCATTGTCATCGCCACAACTTACTATGATATCTTCTCCTGACAACACTCGCTCTGGGAAAAAACACGTCTCCAAAGCGATCCCTCTACGTTGAAGGCTGCAACGGAGTTCGAGCGCCGCCAAGGTGTGGTCTATGAAACCTCACTCGTGGAAAGACAGTGACCCTGCGTGCGTTGACAGGATTTTCAACTTACATGTCCGCGCTCTTGGCCTCCATATTAAAATTTAAAGAAAGAGTTATGTTGTGTGTTGTTTGGGTCGAAGGCCTCAACATATGGCATTGACCCAGGCGTGTATGCTTCATATTGAAATTATGGGGCCCCAAGGATACTCAAGTAAAAATGATGGGATATCAAAACATGAATCTCCTCATAAAAAACCGAAACTTCATTTTGCCATGGCCAACAACATTGAAACTCACTTGCCTGGTAGTTTCAATGTATGGACTTTGGGAGCTGAAAACTCAATGCTCTTCCAAAATTCAAAGTCAATTTTCATATGCGCTGGTATTTTCTTCCGTTCAACTCAATGCAATTCGATATTGCAAAACATCATAATGCTATTGCATGCTTGTGATGTGATAATCAGACCGCAACAGCAGCAGAACTCTTTTGTTTTCCATCCCCAGGATTTGCTGCATCACTCCACGGCCCCACGGCCAAGACCTCAGCTCAAACATGAGGAGACACAGCAAACAACACAAGCGCACCATGCACAGGAAAAGCTGGAACTTGTTGCAACGAGGCAATCATACAAGCGCAGGCAGGCAATTGGATTTCTTCTTGCAACTGTTGAACCGCTCAAACTCCTCTGGCCATCTGGAACTAGTGTACAGCTGCGCAAACATCACTCCAGCCTTGAGCGAGTGAACTTGCGCGGTTCCACCTCTCCTAGCAGATGTAATGGTAACCAGCAATAGTATGGTATTGAGATAAAAACCTGAAATAAACTTATCTGGCCATTGTAATCCGCCCGGTTGACCCCCCGGGACCCAAGGGAGGGCTTCGGATTTAAATAAGCACTATTTGATCACACCATCTAGGCATTGTTGCAACAGCAAAGAACAGAATCAGAATCAAGCATCCGAACTAGTCTGTACAGAGGCCACTGTCAAGGGCTACAGCGTCGCGGACCATACACAAGGTGAGGCCAACAAAAAAACAAGCCCTGGGCCATAACATGTCGTGCATCGTGCGCCAGTCCCAATGTAGCTGGCTGTTCTGATTCTGCAAAGTATGCTTACTACTGATGTACTGTACTGCACAACGATCACATCTGCTAGCTTCCAACTTCCTTACCATGCCAGCTTCATGAGCATGATCCTAGCACAAAATGTTTATGAATTCGTGGATTCATGGGAGAGAATGTCCACGGGGAATCTACAGCCCCGGCCCCACACATTCAAATCAACCAACCATCTTCACTTGAATCATTCACCTCTGCCGCCGTGGCCCTCCACTAGCGCAACAAATGCACGCAATTCTTGGCCGGCGGGGCACTGAACAACCAAAATGTTGTCGTCATCCTCCTTCTTTGTGTCCACAGCTGTATCTGCTTGCGACGTCTCATTGGCTCGCTTTGCAAAAGCCAGGCCACCCACCGCAAGAGTCTCCTTCGGCACAGCCGCCCCCTTCCTTCCGCCTTTGCCACTTGATGACTCAACCTCTTCAGGAAAATTGGATCGTGAGCAAAGGCATTCACCCACTGCGCCCTTGTTGGACATCTTCCTCACAAGCGTCTTGATCGCCTGAGTTGCCATAGTTGCTACGCTGGTGCTGCTACACAGAAGTTAAGTCATGTTCAACATGATTCAACGTGGCTCAACTCGACATGGCTGACACTGACACGGGCCCGCGTGACTCACATGACTGACTGCCATCATTAGTCAACCCAACCCAACATTCAACATGAAACAACTTGCCTCTGCGCGAAGATCCACGTAATGTCTCGTCAGATTCACTGTCCGCTTCTCGTCACGCCTGACTTGCGCACAAAAGCTGTTGCAAAGTCTGAAATTCTGACGTCAGTGAAACTGTTGGGACTGGTAGTTAGCACGCTAGCCTTGTTGCTTGTTTGTCACTTCGGAACGGTCGTTGAGTCTTTGACTCTTTTGACTCTTTGACTGTTTGACTCTTTGACATTATCTGGGCTTGGTTTCTGGTTATGGAATAGGTCGGGTTTGTGTAAAAGTCAGCTGAGCCCAGAGCGCATCCGTCATATGAAGAACTTCATCTGATGTCTCAGCTTTGAAGAGAGCTTTCCCAACAGCATATCCTGTCTTCATCATCCAGATAGCGTTGGGCGCTGGGCTGGAAAACTTGTTGTAGCCTTCACCGTTGATGAAGAATGAGATCGGGACATCATCGAAAATAGCATCGGCTACCTAAGAGCGCAAACACACACAGAGACACTTCAACTAGACCAAGCAATCAATTAATCAATCATGACAAATCGAGTGATTCACGATGATCCATAAAGCCCAAACAAAAACCACAAATCATGGCATGACAAGTACATCACGGACCACGGATCAAGGAATCTAGGATGACAAAGATGACTCAGATGACTGAGGACTTCGATGACTGACCTACCACAGCCTACCACATCAATCTGCGCTGCCTTCAAGCATTTGGCTCCATACTCCGTCGTCACTTGGCCAAACAAGTAGATTCGCAGGTCATCTCCAGGGTGATCTTCCACAAAATTGCAAGCAGCAGCCACATCAAGCAAGAGTTGTGACTTCAAGTCAACCTGCAGCAGCTTCAACAATCCCTTGTGGGACTTTGACCTCAGTGAAGTTGGATTCAAGATTATTCAAGATTTCAAGACTCTCAAGACTCAGGCGTCAACAAGTCAACAATAGCTTGTCAACAAGTTAACAAGTTAACAAGTCAACAGGCTACCCAAGGTGCAGCACAGTGTAGGTTAGGTTAAGGTTGTATGATTGGACTCTGGACTCTCATTGGACTCATGGCTCACGACTCATATTGCAACTCAATTCAAATCACCCATATCCAAGACACACAGCATGTCTCATCAAATGTGTCTCAATCGCTTGTTGCACTGCGATGACATCCAAGCTGTTCAGAGCCTTCGCCTTTGGGACGTCGTGCATGTTGCACAGATCTTCCAAAGTAGGACAGGAGGTCTCCAGGCCAGTTGGCACGGTGGTGTTGCCATCACCATCACCCTGACGACCTGTCTCTGCATCTGCATCCCCGTCACGTGCCAAGTTGCTTCCGGCCCCGGATCCGCCAGCTGAACCTGCAGCCGTCTCTGCTTTCACTGGATCGCCACCGGCGCCAAACTTCTTGCAGCCATCAATGACTGATTTTCCAAAGATCTTCGTTGGCTTCGGCAAGAATTGTAGCCACTGCACTGTGCTGAGATCGGGCAGCACATCTTCAAGCGCATTTGCGCTACCAGCTCCAGTGCTTGCCGGTAACCCTGACCTTTGGCACTTTCGTTGGAGGCTGGAGGACTTCCTCATTCTGAGCGTTGTCATGCTTCACCTTCTTAGAGAAAGCCATCTGGGCCTCGAACAGAATCTTGGACCAAGCTGAGCACCAACTGTTGACGGGGTCCTCCTGGCTGCCGCGCGTGAAATGGAAGCGGGATTCAACCTCAAGAACATAGGCCCGTCCCTCCTTCGCCAACAAGAAATCAAGAAGATTGGCAAAGGCCTCCATGTACTTGACATCAAGTCAACTGCACAAATTTGATGATCCTGCGCGTCAGAGGGACCGGAACAAGTTCAATTGTCCATCGCAACCCACGAAGCAAGTACAGCGCTTTGCACACAATCATCCCTTCGATGATTTGTTCGTTGTAATTGTCGCAGTTGTCACGCTTGCCCTCAGCTTGCACCTCCGCTGGAGTCGGTACCTTAACATTGCCCGCATCCTCGGCCCCAACTTCGTGGGAATCCTGGGCATGTTGTCGACGCGAAGCTGAAGCTGGAAACGGCCATTGCAGCTGTCCCCACACGGCCAACAGCCGCAGGCACTGCTGCTCCTTCTTCCAGGAGACACTGCGAAAGGCCCCAGACAAAGTCTTGGACAGTGCGCTCAGCATTGCTATGGAAATCGCACACATCCAAATCAAAGGTCTCATCATCGCCACAATTGCAACTCGTGACGGTCTTGAAGACACTCATGAACTTCCAGTACGCAGGATGGGATTCAATCGGGCCTTGGTTTGCGGCAACGAACTCCTTAACTTCCAGCATTGTGTCTTTAGCCTGAAACACTGCTTGGGTGAGGCCCTTGAGGTCAGCGCTCTCGCTTACCTTGCCGAAGCCATCCTTTGTCTCGCGGGCATTCTTCCCACTGAGCAGCAAGGTGAAAAGCTTGCTCACACAATCGTCCAGTGACCCGCCCTCAGGCAGCGCAGACTCTGTCTTCGAAAGAGCGGTCCGCAAAGTCGACTGGAGGTGAGGTCTGACCTGCCAAATGTGCAGTGTATAGGGAATACCAGATTTAATGTAAAATTTCTAAAAGGAATGTTCTGCACTAGTATCAATACTAGGAATACCAGCACAAGTGCTTATAGAAAAGCTTTGCACTTATAGGCCTTACAGGTATGTAGGACCAATAGGGTCTATTTGGGAACAGGGGTTTTTCTGCTGATCATGTACTAGAGGCATCAGAAAATTCAAAAATTTCTAGAAGCGCGGAGAGGCTTTCGCAATTTTTGAAATTTTAGATATTTTTGATCCTGGCTGGGGCTCCGGAGTGGACCAAGAATTTCAAGAATTTCAGAAATTTCAGAAATCTTAAATAAATCCCGAACCCCAGCCACCCCCGGATCAAAAATTTCAAAACTTTCAAAAATCGCGGGGAGGCTTTCGCAATTTTTTTTGAAATTTTTGGTCCTGGGATGGCTGGGGTTCAGGATTCATTAAAATTTTTCGAAAATTTTGATATTTTTGAAATTATTGATATTTTTGATCCTGGCTGAAGCTCCGGAGTGGACCAGGAATTTCAAAAATTTCAGAAATTTCAGAAATTTCAGAAATTTCAGAAATGTTTTTAAAAAATCTTAAGAACCCCGCCACCCCCGGATCAAAAATTTCAAAAATTTCAAAAATCGCGGGGAGGCTTTCGCAATTTTTGATTTTTTTGAAATTCTTGGTCCGGGGGTGGCTGGGGTTCAGGATTCATTAAAATCTTTTGAAATTTTTGATGTTTTTGAATTTTTGATATTTTTGATCCTGGCTGGGGCTCCGGAGCGGAACAAGAATTTCAAGAATTTCAAAAATTTCAGAAATTTTAAATAAATCCCGAACCCCAGCCACCCCACATCAAGAATTTCCAAAATCACGGGGAGGCTTTCGCAATTTTTTTTATTTTTTTGAAGTTTCTGGTCCTGGGGTGGCTGGGGTTCAGGATTCATTGATATTTTTGAAATTTTTGATATTTTTGATCCTGGCTGGGGCTCCGGAGTGGAACAAGAATTTCAAGAATTTCAAGAATTTCAAAAATTTCAGAAATTTTTTAAATAAATCCCGAACCACAGCCACCCCCGGATCAAAAATTTCAAAAATTTCAAGAATCGCGGGGAGGCTTTCGCAATTTTTTTTTGAAATTTTTGGTCCGGGGGTGGCTGGGGTTCAGGAACTTTTTGGTATTTTTGGTCCTGGGATGGCTGGGGTTCAGGATTCATTCAATTTTTTTGAAATTTTTGATATCTTTGAAATTTTTGATCCTGGCTGGGGCTCCGAAGTGGACCAAAAATTTCAAGAATTTCAGAAATTTCAGAAATTTCAGAAATTTTAAATAATTCCCGAACCCCAGCCACCCCCGGATCAAAAATTTCAAAACTTTCAAAAATCGCGGGGAGGCTTTCGCAATTTTTTTTTGAAATTTTTGGTCCTGGGGTGGCTGGGGTTCAGGATTCATTAATTTTTTGTGAAATTTTTGATCCTGGCTGGGGCTCCGGGGGTGGCTGTGAAATTCTTGAAATTCTTGGCCCACTCCGGAGCTTCAGCCATGATCAAAAATATCAAAAATTTCAAGAATATCAAAAATTTCAAAAAAAATTAATGAATCCTGAACCCCAGCCACCCCAGGACCAAAAAATTCAAAAAAATCAAAAATTGCGAAAGCCTCCCCGTGATTTTTGAATTTTTGAAATTTTTGATCGGAGTGGACCAAAAATTCTCCTTGGCTCTTCCCGCATGTTTAGGGGCCTTGGCAGGAACCTTCGGGTCACGGTTGGTTCTCTTCAGCTGCTGCCTCTTCAGGAAGCCTTCTTGTGGACAATTCTGCAAAGGTACAGGGTTTGTCGATAGTTCCTTAATATTAGGGTACCTTATGTTGCGCAAATCTTACGCAGAGTTGTCTTGACATGATTAGCCGACACGATTGGATCGTGGCCGCTAAAGGTTCCACTTGACTTTCACTTCGCACAGAGAAGGGTGACATGTTAATTTGATTTTTCTATAATTATTACGTGGCTACCATATCCTCATTCATAGGGCTGAGTCGGGCCAAGAAGCACCGTAACCAATCTCCTCAAGGCATCTGGCTTCAGCTTCTTGCCACTCAGAACTTGGCCCTTCTTCTGCCAAACCAATTTGCAAGCACCTGCAACCACTTGACGAAAGGACACTGCCTTCATTGCAGCCTTCCTGAACCAATCCAGCTGTGACCCGAGGTGTGGCTAGCAACAGCTCCTTGACGCAGCGCGGCAACGCAACTGACATGACATGTAAGAGTCAAGTTGCTGCACGCTGGAGTGGGCAAGAGTGGGGAGGACTCTCCTCCACTCTGTCCAGAGAGACAAGGGGCTCTTTTTGGTTTTCGAGAGAATGGAAAAGATCCTGCTCCACTCCTTCGGATGGTGGGGGGTCATACCTGGGCTCCTTCCACAGAGTGGGAGGACTCTCCCCATGGCCTCAAGATGGCATCATGTTAAGACTCTCCCCATGGCCTCAAGATGGCATCATGTTAAGATGGGAGCATGTTGGACCTCTCATGGACACCACATGCTCCTCATTCTGGCCCCCAAGCAGCTGCTCACCTGCAGATGATCCAGGTGCCCCATGATAGGCATACATTTCTCAAACACAGGCAACATGCAAGTGCGAAGACCGGCACACAACTAACCCATGTACAATGTTTTTGCAGGTTTTAAAACGATTTGCATGTGTTTTTGGGTCTGGATTCTCAGGCCCCCCTGAAGGAGATGGACCCTGGATTCTCAGGCCGCCTGAAGGAGATGGACCCTTCGATCAAGTTCACTATGACTTGAAGCGGGGTTTTCATGATATATTCTCGTAGAGCATGTTAGCCCTCATGGAGAACACTTTAAATTCAAACATGTTCCCTGGCCATGTAGGACCTGCCACCACCAATTCAGATCCCTCCACACAGCTTGTTCTACGTATACATACACATATCATACAGAACATACATTTTCTAGACAGATTACATTGAACTTAACGGATCAAGATTCTGGGGGAGCCTGGGAGGTAAACCTTCTGAAGAAGCTTCCTGTGAGTTGCAGAGGAGTCTCCTCCAAGGGCTCATAAAGTAGACTGACCTGCATAGAGGCCTCTGCAGAAGATTCACATCCTTCTTCATGGAGAGCTTGCCGATCTCTCAAGTCTTTCATTTAAGGGCTTCAGAAGTATATGGATATCTCCTGGACCCACCGCTTTATTTGGAGGGTTCCCCATGACTCCCATTGTATAGTCGAAGTGCAGCTTCTCTGGAAAAGCCATGCCTGACATTCTTTTGTCTCACAAGAGCTACGAGTCATCGGACCCAGGCACGGCCGACGGCTGCGCACGCCGGTCCGAACCGCGGCAACGACGCTGCAAGGGTCACGACTCGTGTCTTCCACAAATCTGCCAGCAGCCACAGGAACACCTCGAGACGGCACGAATTCATCCCGCGAGCCTGCGCAACATAGCGCTCCATCCATGCCTTAGACCCTCCGAGCGCTTCTCAAGGCCTCCCAAAACCACCTCAACGAAGCGGCGACCGCCCACAATCGCCTCTCGACACACTCCAATGATCTGTGGATCTGTGAAGCCACAGTCACATACTTGGACACATGGGAGTTAAATGGAACCAGACTACAACTAGTCGCGCCACCGCATCCGTCAAGCCTCCAAGCAACGCGCGCTGCACACTTCCTTCGCTCCTAACTGACCATCAACAAAGGGTAATGGTACCTGACACAACAAAAAAGCACGGCAGATCCATTAAGTCGGACACCGCATTCGTCGAGCCTTCTGATCATCGCGCACCTCACAGTCGTTTCAGCCGGAAACTGCCAACACTGCGTGACAGCGGTTGCCGACCAACACTCGCACGCTGAGAAGCACTACGACGCCATCGCTCACGAAGCCGGCGCAACCTTCCATCACACACAGCAGCAGCAGCAGCAGCAGCAATACCCCGGCAAAGCAGTCTTCCTACGCGAGCACACACTTTTGACGACG